TACAATGTGCAATATTACACTCTCACCCCCCCAAAAATATAATAAAAACTAAATGAGGAGGCTAAACAAACAGACTAAAACTTGCTAAATATTGCTCAGTGAATTGGTCACTGCTATAAAGTGCAACACATGCTTGCAATTATAAATGTACGCAGCACAAAATAATACTCTTAAGGAAAGTTTGCAGGTATAACATAAAATGTCTTGAAAAAGTTCCGTGGGAGGGACGAAACGCGTAGACGAGCGCACACATCACACCAGCTGACTCTTGTTTCTTCTCTGTCTGATTGCCTGAAGGTTTGCTATGAGCTACCGCGGTCTTTTTTGAAGATCCCGACTGCGTTATTGGCTCCAAAAGGTTATAGTATATCTGCGGACGGGGTGTTTATGTGCACATACTCCGGTATCTCTGCATCCAGTTAGAGTGCTATCCTGGAACTCTGGTTACCTTCCATTGGACTTGGTTTGATTTTTACCTTTGGTGGGGGCCCACACCGAGGTCAGGTACTCTCTAGCTTTTGTACTATTTTATATTTTTTATATATTTTTTTGCATTTTTCACTACACGTTTTATATTTTTTTCTGATTGTTTTTCAATCGAGCTGTTTTTTCTGTGAAAGAACTATCAGCTCTATTTAATTTATTATTGGTGATTTATTGGTATAGTGATTGATTTCTGCCTATCATGCAATAGTGTTTATTCCGATTAGGAGTGTGTACTTGAGATATTACTTTCATTACCTTCTTGCTGGGTTGCTGCACGCGATACTGTTAGTTAACATTGTTGCAGCATCCCAGTTTTGAAACATTTTTATATATCTACTGTGTATCTGCAACCCCGTTTACACATTCCTAGTCGGGAAAGTTTATAGGAAGAACCAATCTATTTGTTCCCATGTAACAGAGGATTCAGAGCAGCTTGATTTTGCGATCTAGTAATTTTTAAATGTATTGTTTATTAGATTTATTTATGTTTAATTTATCCAATTTTTATTTTTTATTTATTTAAGGAGCACACATACTTTATTTCTTGTTTTGAGTTTTCCCTCATCTAGTCGATTGACAGTGTATGTAGCAGCCCATTGATTTTATCATCATAATATGCATATACAAATATGCATATTGTAAACCCATTTTTGCAAAGTTAATGTAACTGTAAAATGGAACACTGACTCAGTACAAAGTGAGATATATTAGTTTGTGCAAATAGAGCCGTGTGGCTTCTTATGGCTCCCACCACAGTCATCACTTTCAGGTTGGTGTCAGGATTACTGTTTGATCCATAACGTAGAACTGTACAGCACGGATGACAAATAAGTAACGTATTACCGGTCCTTAGAATGGCCGGATTTAACGTACAAAGAATAGTCAAAAATACTAGCCGAGGTCAGGGAACACAGAAAGGGACACAGCGATGAGGAAAGCCAGGAGTCAGGATACCAGAATATAGAGAAGTCAATAAACAAAGCCAAAGTCAAAAACCAGGTAGAAAACTATAAACAGGAACGCGCTCTCAGACAACCACAAGGGAAACCACGACAGGGCACTGAGCAGGCTGAGAACTGGGCCTAAATACCCCTCCTTTAGTTCTGATAGGCTGTAACCGGCCTTTGACCCCAAAGTCAGTTACCAGGTTTCATTTGCATAATTGCTGCTCAGCATTAACCCTTCTGTGGATTAGGTTGCTGCTCGGCACAACTTTTCCTGTGTGGACAGTAAATGTCATTAATCACTTTTCTCTAAGCGGATGAATACATGACACCAGGTTTCATTTGCACAATTACTGCTCAGCATTAACCCTTCTGTGGATTAGGTTGCTGCTCGGCACAACTTTTCCTGTGTGGACAGTAAATGTCATTAACCACATTTCTATAAGCGGATTAATATGTGACAGTTGGATCCATTCTATCATATTGTCTTTCTCAGATGTATAGTTCTAAGACCACAACGACCAGTGGATGAGGGTGAAACAACAGGGATATAGTGTAGATCTTTCAATTGGTTTAGTTTGTGAAATAACAAACTTCCCGAAGGCAATCAAGGTTCAGATCTCTTAACTCGAGTGCTGCATTATGAAGGTGTCATTTATTAAACATGTCTGTCCTCCACAGGCTCTCACAAATATCACCAGCCTTCATAATCAAGGAACACTCCAAGCACCATAACCACTGCAGCATTCTATAGTGTCTAGGGTGTCCTAGTGCCTCCTAATTGTAAGATATCAAATCGTTTTAGAACAGTTTGAATTTTTACATGTGGTTTGCAGAGCAAAGCTCCCTGAGCTAAGTCCTGCATTGCATGGCCGTTTCATTGGCTGAGAGCATCAGCTGATTATTATATTTTTTATTATTATTTTATTTTATATATAGTGCTAGCAAATTCCGTAGCGCTGTACAATTTATATAGTGCCAACAAATTCCGTGGCGCTTTACAAACAGCAAGCTAATCCCTCCACCTCCTGGATTAGCTTCCTGCTTGTTGTGACGTTGTAACGGAGGCAGGGATCATCGAACACAAATTGCCCTAAAACTATTTGGCTGCATATGGGGATCCTGGGCCCTCATTGCTCCATAACCGCTGCTGCACTTTGTAATGATTCTAGAAGTATTGCTTCACTAACTAACTAAACTAGCAAAATCATAGTACAGAAATAGGTAACGCCACTCGCATTATCTCTATGAGAATGATGTACTTTAGAAAGTAACAATAAAGTAACGATGTAAAGCACATTAAAAACGGAAAATAATGTGCCAATCTCTTTGCATCAATATTTCATTCTAGAATACACTTAAATAAAGAAAACATTAAAAGCAAATAAAGGTGCAAGGAGAAAAGGGGAAATGTTACTATCACAATACATATTACCTAAAAGCCATTATATCTATATCACAATTATGGCCAACATGCTTTTTATTTCATTATCTACCCAGTTTCTCTATGGCCAAAGGATTTTACTTAATGTTCTCCGTCATTGAATTTGTAAATAATTCCTGATAAATAGTATTCCTCCCAGTATCTTGATCTCACAAGATGTTTAATTTAGCTTTGCTTTTGTGAAATCATTCAAATAAATGTATATCCGCTGCCAAATGTGTTTATATAGCTAGAAATAGATACAGATATTGTTTCCTTGTTAGATCGATATACAAGTTAACGTGTACGCATGCATATACAGAACTGTTTTCTATCTAACATAAAGCAATCATCCCGCAGTCATTTCTATCTATAATCTGCCGGAGTTATGTTAGAACGTGTTCCTTTTGTTGTAGTTGTTTTAGTTTATTAAGACCATTCTGTCATTCAAAAACATGTGCCAGTGTAACTAGATACTCTACTGATGCAAGAAACGATGAAGGGTCCCTCTCCTCACCCTAAGTGTTGTGTGTGGGGAGTATGACTAAATATGATATGTTTGTGTGGAGCTGAATGAGTGGGATGTGTTTGTGTAATTGGCTGATTGTGATGTGTGGGATTGTCCAATTATCTAATTATTTTCTAAAATAAAAAAAAATAAAAACTTACCTTTCAGCAGGGATGGGGGTATAATTCACACATTCTTGGTAGTCCATCTTGTGCTTCCATTGAATTTCTGGTGTCCAGTGGGGTAGAGTGTGGTCTGCATCTCCAGCTGGTGCAGTCCACAGTAAGTGCTGTTCCTATCAGTGCTTAGTGAAAGTTTTAGAGTGTTGCTATTGCACTGAGCCCCAGGTCCACAAGGGAGCACCTGAGGTGCAGACTGCACTTTGCCTAGTAGGATGCGATCGGTTTGTAATTAAATATCTTTTAAAAAAAGAAATTTATGAAAAAGCAGTTTCGTAAGAATGGACCTGCCTGACCTGGGCTCCCCTGGACAGGTGCAAGGCCAAGGCATAGTAACAATTAGTTTCACCACTGAAAACATGTTTCTATCAGGCAGTTATATAAATGTGTCTATATATTGCCCTAACATTATCACAAATACCTTGTATATGGTATACAAAATAAAATTGTCTTAAAAAGGGTCCCACTGAATTACTACTTAAGGTCTTGCACGCCTACGGCCACCCATGATTTGACTTTGCAATAATTATTAAGGACCGTTAATAAGTAAAAATACACAAATACGCAGACATCAGTGCAGCTGCCCAGTTCTTAAAAAGGTAAACAAAATAACTGCTATTCATATTGGACAAAACACCTTTGCACAATGCCATACAAGGAACACTGTACCTTTAAAATATTCTGCCTATTCATATTAAACACTAAGTTAAAAATGGAAAGTTATGCAAGGCAGAGATCCAAACCTCAAGATTGACCTGCAATATGAACAAACAAAATACAGATATATTTACAATAAAAAAAACAATTGTCAGAAAACCCTAACATTGTAAAAAAAATACAATAAAAGTGTATTGTTAATAACATCAATATTGTTAAGAAAAACAATGGTTACTAACTCATCAATTTAACGTTGGCAGAAAAAACTACATGGACCTGTTCAGAGATTATACAATCCAGCTTCTCTGCATGAGACACTCATTTATAAACTCTCATTTCCCGTAACAAGAGGGGGTGAATTCTAATGAATCTTGGTTACCGCTATTGTCACATTTCTTTATAGAACCCTGTAGTGTAATTTATTGTAGTGCTATGCTAACTGCAGTTAACAAATGGCATGTGTATAATATATATTACAAGGATTTATTCATTCTGAATTGTCAGCATTGCAAACTGTAAATTATAAGCTAGAAAACTAACTGCCGTGAAGAATTTTTCTTCAGGCCTAAATTGTGTAATTTAATTTAATAGAACTAAAAATTTGGATATTTGGCTATTCTGGTGTAAACGTTTACATTCCCTAGTTTTCAGGTAACAATTACCAAACACGAAACCTTTTAATGTTTTCATAATTTCTGGTTTGTAAGAGGTCCTACTCAATTAACTCTGTGCTCTCCTCTTTTTCCACACATCGACCGGGTGGATCACTCACGTCACCCGCCTCCTGACTGTAAAGGATGCTGCCCGCTTGCAGAACATGTCAATCAGATGACCGCATTTTCATACTTTTTGGAGTCGCAAGAGTGACGTTGTCCAATCAATGTGTGCAGAAGCATTTTTAAAGGCACATTACACCTTGTTCATTGCTTTGTTGTGGATTCTGTTTCTAGGACTCCAACTTAACTTTCTGCAGGGATGGGGGTATAATAATAACTTTTGGTAGTCCAGCTTGGGGTTTCATAGAATTTCTGGTGTCCAGTGAGGGAGAGTGCGGTCTGCATCTCCAGCTGGTGTAGTCCACAGTAAGTGCCGTTCCAGTGAGAGCTCAGTGAATGTTTTAGAGTGTTGCCACAGTACTGAGCCACAGGTCCACAAGGCAGCAGCTGACATGCAGAACCGCACACTGCCTATTAGGATGTGATTGATTCATAATTAAATATATTTTCTAATAAAGTAATTTATGAAATAGCAGTTTCGCAAGAAGTGACCTGCCCGACAGGCCCAACCTGGCCACCCCGGACAGGTACAAGTCCAAGAAGGTATGGTAACAATTCCTCTTCCAACTTTAAAGGCACAATACACCTTGTTCATTGCTTTGCCGTGGGTTCTGTTTCTAGTACTCCAACGTTGATTTTTCTAATTTAAACGTTAAGCCCGGTGGCCACTCTAAGGTCCAGTAATACATCCTTTCTGTTTTCTCTGTCTGCTGTCCCAGGTTCTGCGTTTTTAGATTTATTAACCTTGACAAGGATAAAATACAAAATGCTATCTTGGCAAGTGTTGTTCTTACAAATGTAGTTAAAAACCTATCTGGGTAACAGAAGTACAGGCTGCCTAAGTTATCAACAAATATCACAAACAAAAGAATACAGCCTGAAACGTTATCCATTGTCCATTCCCTTTATCTCGCTCCTCTCTGTGTCTATGCTGTTCTTTCTTCTGGATTACTTATCTAAAGCATTAATTTAAAAATATAATCCAACCCTGTTCAGCCAGTGCTGGATTAGGCAGAAGAATGGGTAAGCACCAGCCTAAAAATATATAGCTCAGTGTGATGCTCATCTTGGAACTTTCCTTGTGCTGGTAATTTAATGCACAAGGTAGAGATTATTATTATTATTATTATTTATATAGCGCCAGCAAATTCCATAGCGCTGTACAGTGGGTGGACTAACAGACACATAATTGTAACCAGACAAATAGACGCACAGGAACAGAGGGGTTGAGGGCCCTGCTCAATGAGCTTACATTCTAGAGGGAGTGGGTTTAGTGATACAAAGGGTAATAGTAGGGATATGAAATAGGTTGTTAGAAAAGTATTCACTGAGGGCTTAGTAGGTAATTTTTGACAGTTGCAGGAGAGGAGTCATGGGGGGGAGGGTGAGGGATGAAAACCTGCTAACAGTTTAAATGATATGCTTTCCTGAAGAAGTGTGTTTTCAAAGATTTTTTGACGGCATGGAGACTGGGTGAAAGTCTAATGGAGAAGGGAATGGAGTTCCACAGAAAAGGTGTAGTCCTGGAGAAGTCTTGGAGACGGGCATCAGAGGTGGGAGTACGGACAGACATGGGAGTCTGCAGGAATTTTTCATGGTGGGGGGCATAATTGTAATGACATCCATGCTTGGCCCCTTTTTAACAGTGTCATGAAGGGGAGGGGCATAGCCATTATCACACAGTGGCACCTACTGGCCGGCGCCGGTATTGCAATGTAATATTAGTCTCAAAAGAAAAATACTGGCATAGAAACATAGAAACATAGAATGTGACGGCAGATAAGAACCATTCGGCCCATCTAGTCTGCCCAATTTTCTAAATACTTTCATTAGTCCCTAGTCTTATTTTATAGTTAGGATAGCCTTATGCCTATCCCACGCATGCTTAAACTCCTTTACTGTGTTAACCTCTACCACTTCAGATGGAAGGCTATTCCATGCATCCACTACCCTCTCAGTAAAGTAATACTTCCTGATATTATTTTTAAACCTTTGTCCCTCTAATTTAAGACTATGTCCTCTTGTTGTGGTAGTTTTTCTTCTTTTAAATATAGTCTCCTCCTTTACTGTGTTGATTCCCTTTATGTATTTAAATGTTTCTATCATATCCCCCCTGTCTCGTCTTTCCTCCAAGCTATACATGTTAAGATCCTTTAACCTTTCCTGGTAAGTTTTATCCCGCAATCCATGAACCAGTTTAGTAGCCCTTCTCTGAACCCTCTCTAAGGTATCAATATCCTTCTGAAGATACGGTCTCCAGTACTGTGTACAATACTCCAAGTGAGGTCTCACCAGTGTTCTGTACAATGGCATGAGCACTTCCCTCTTTCTACTGCTAATACCTCTCCCTATACAACCAAGCATTCTGCTAGCATTTCCTGCTGCTCTATTACATTGTCTGCCTACCTTTAAGTCATCAGAAATAATCACCCCTAAATCCCTTTCCTCATATGTTGAGGTTAGGACTCTATCAAATATTCTGTACTCTGCCCTTGGGTTTTTACGTCCAAGATGCATTATCTTGCACTTATCCACATTAAATGTCAGTTGCCACAATTCTGACCATTTTTCTAGTTTACCTAAATCATTTGTCATTTGGCTTATCCCTCCTGGAACATCAACCCTGTTACATATCTTAGTATCATCAGCAAAAAGACATACCTTACCATCAAGACCTTCTGCAATATCACTAATAAAAATATTAAAAGAGAATGGGTCCAAGTACAGATCCCTGAGGTACCCCACTGGTGACAAGTCCAAGCTTCGAATATATTCCATTAACTACAACCCTCTGTTGCCTGTTACTCAGCCACTGCCTTACCCATTCAACAATATTTGAATCCAAACTTAAAGATTGCAGTTTATTGATAAGCCTTCTATGTGCAACAGTGGCACAAGTTTAAAAAAACCAAGGGGGGACAAGTGCCCCCTACCGCAGACGCCCATGCGAACAGAGAATAGATGTAGGTCTTCGGCAGAGCGCAGGGGCCTTGACAGGGCATACTTGTGTATTAGGGAGGATAGGTAGGTTGGAGCAGCATTATGCAGGGATTTGTAAGCAAGCACCAGAATCTTAAATTGAGCCCTATATCTAATTGGAAGCCAATGTAGGGACTGACAGAGGGGGGAGGAGTGGGAGGTACAGGGAGACAGGAAAATGAGCCTTGCCGCCGTATTCATTATAGATTGCAGCGGTGCAATCTGGGAACACGTTAGACCACTGAGAAGGAGATTGCAGTAGTTAAGACGAGAAAGAACAGTGGCATGGACCAGTACCTTAGCTGCATCTAGTGTTAAATAGGGGCAGATACGAGCTATGTTTTTGAGATGGAAGCGGCAGGATTTGGCAATCGACTGGACATGAGGGGCGAAGGAGAGGTCGGAGTTAAAGAGAACACCTAGGCAATGAGCCTGCGAGGTGGAGGTGATGGTGGCGCCGTTGACTTGGAGGGAGACAGACATAGGAGTAGCATGCTTGAGGAAGGAAAGACCAGAAGTTCTGTTTTGGACAGGTTGATTAAAGGAAGTGAGCAGCCATCCAGTTGGAAATTGCGAAGAGGCAGTCAGAGAAACAAGTCAAGATGGGCGGAGAGAGATCAGAAGAGGACAGGTAGATTTGTGTGTCATCTGCATATAAATGATAATGGAAGCCAAAGGAGCTGATGAGTTTACCAAGGGAGGCAGTATAGATGGAGAACAGTAGGGGACCAAGGACAGAACCTTGGGGAACGCCAACAGAGAGGGGTTGGGGAGAAGAGGCAGAGCCAGAGAAAGAAACACTAAAAAAGCGCTGGGAGAGATAGGAGGAGCACCAGGAGAGAGCAGTATCTCGTAGACCGAGATTATGGAGAATGAGAAGAAGCTGTTGATGATTAACAGTGTCAAAGGCAGCAGAAAGATCAAGGAGAATTAGGATAGAGTAATGGCCACAAGATTTAGCAGTGATTAAATCGTTGGATACTTTGGTCACATCAGTTTCAACAGAGTGAAGAGAGCGGAATCCAGACTGAAGCAGGTCAAGCAGAGAATTGGATTCGAGGAAGTCTATCACTCTCGCATACACAACTCTCTCAAGGATCTTGGAGGCAAATGGCAGTAGCAATATAGGGCAGTAGTTGGATGGGGAGTTTGGGTCAAGGTTGGGCTTTTTCTGAATTGGCATTATGGTTGCATGCTTGAAGGGTGAAGGAAATGTGCCAGAGGAAAGGGAAAGATTGAAAATTTTAGTGAGTGGAAGAGCAAGAGAGGAAGACAGGGTACAGATGAGATATGAGGGAATAGGATCGAGGGAACAAGTGGTGGGGCAGGAGGACCGGAGCACAGCAGAAGCCTCTTCCATTGTAGTAGGTGCGAATGAGTATAGAACAGTGGAATGAGTGGGGTTGGGTGATGTATTGGAAATGGAGAGAGAGAGGTTAGAGATCTCTTCCCTGATTGTAGACATCTTTTCTTTTTGTAAAGAGATGAATGGAAAGAATTCCTAATAAATAAACGAAGTTGAAGAATGTACGAAATTAAGAGATTGTAAATAATAATCTGTAGATGGTCACTTTGTATGTGTGCAAATTATGCTAACCTTTGGTTTGGCTGCTTTTCCAAGTTGGAGTCGAGCTTGTTTCTAGTGTCAAGGAGGCATTATGCTCAAACACAGCTATAATACTTGCATTCCCCAAAAATACTCTCTGATTCCTTATAATCTACACCTCGGTGTAGTGGTGGGTATGCTGCCTAGAGACGCTGGATGCCATCTATTGGTTTATTTCAATCTGTTTGAGGGCAGTATTTCAAAGAACATGGCTCTGTATTGCTCCTGTACTCCACCCACTCTTCAACTGCATTGAATATGCGCAGATTAAAATTCTGAATTGTAAGTGTCAATTGCATACCACTTGGATGGTCCTAATAGCTTATCACTCTCAGCACTCTCAACCAATCACTGCCATCCAGTTTGGCCCACACTGATATTGATAACATGCTAGTTCTGCATTATCCTCCAGGAGCCATGGAGTGCCTTGTCTTTTGTTATAAAAAAAAGTCTAAATGGTTTATCATATAACTGAGGGGATAGAGTTTAGATAACATGACCTCTGCACTGGGTAGTTTGTTATTTAGAGAGCCCCATTAAGTAAAATAACTTGTTAGTGAAGGGTTGAATTTTGTACTTTAAGGTGCACATCTCATTTGCAACTATTATCCCCATTTAAACTTACACTTCTTTCCCTCTTCTTGTGTAGAGACAATATAACATTTTATTT